ATCCGATGATGGAACAGCAAGGCCTAGTGAGATAAAGATGATAGAAGGGGACTATCAGGTGGCAGCCGGGTAATTACAACTCTCTATTTGGGCTTTGCAGTGATGCTGCATGTGATAAGTGGAGAATAATGAAGAAAAAGGAGCAGTGATAATGCAGGAGCTAAATGGTAGAAAATAGCCTATCATAGCCCACAGCCCTCTGAACGCCTATGGGGACTTTGAACTATCTTCTTCAGTTTTCATCCACAGAAAAAAACATTCTCTCTCTTTCTTCTTCCTTTGCTAAATGTATGTCTGGTGGGACAAAAGGAAAAACTGAAAGGAAATCAAGGGTATGTGAAGAGAATATGACCTTTGCAAATAACTCTGAAGGTCACTATGTAATTATTCTAAAATAAAAGTATCCTGTAATCTTGCCTGTACTCACAAAAGATGCAAGAGCATTTTTCAAATGTGATTCGGTACAATTTTGTTGGGGATCATGACTTATAAAGGTCAGGTAAAGTATTTCTAATTATAGCCTGTCAAGTAGAGCCTCAGAAGAACGCTCAAGCCATTTGTTACTATTGAGTCGAACTTTGATGAAGGCAAAGACAGGCCAAGACACAATCCATTATGTGGAAGGAAAGAGGTGCTTCTGGCTGATGTTTTAGGTCCAGAGTTTTAAAACAAAATAACCTGTGTAGAAGCTGAGGTCGCTCAACCCTGGTGCTTTTGCCGTCTAAAGCAGTGTAAGTCTAATCTTTCCCAGGAGCCTGAGCTTGGGTTGACTGTGTTTGTTTTTGTTTTACCTGTAGCCATCCTGAACCTCACACTGATGATGGATGCAGTCAAGGGGGCGGGGGAAGTGTGTGTGTGTGTATATGTACATGTGTGTGTACATGTTTGTGCACATGTGATGGCAAAAGCCCTTTAACCATTTTTTAATTGTGGTAAAATACACATAATATGAAATTCACCATCTTAAATATACAGTTGAGTAGTGTTAAGGACATTTGCATGTTGTACAGTCAATCTCCAGAATTTTTTTTTTTTTTTTTTGAGACAGAATCTCGCTCTGTCACCCAGGCTGGAGTGCAGTGGCACGATCTCAGCTTACTGCAACCTCCGCCTTCCAGGTTCAAGTGATTCTCCTGCTTCAGCTTCCCGAATAGCTGGGATTACACCAAGCCCGGCTAATTTTTGTACTTTTAGTAGAGATGGGGTTTTATCATTTTGGCCAGGCTGGTCTTGAACTCCTGATCCACCCACCTCAACCTCCCAAAATGCTGGGATTACAAACCTGAGCCACCCCGCCTGGCCCTCTCCAGAATTCTTTTCATCTTACTCAGCAGAACCTGCATAGCCATTAAACAAGAACTACCCATTCTCCCTTCCCCCAACTTCTGGCAACCACCATTCAACTTTCTGTCTTTGTAAATTTGACTACCCCAGGTACCTCAAATGAGTGAAATCACACAGTATTTGTCTTTTTGTGACTGGCCTGTTTCACACAGCATACTATCCTCAAGCTTCATCCATGATGTGCCATGTGTCAGATCTTAGCTGGAGAATTCCTCCAGGAAAAACAGAATTCCTCCAGGACAAAAAAAAAAAAAAAAAAAAAGCTGGTTCAGCAGCTGAAGGGTGCTCCTACCACAGGGCCCACCCTGGCCAGAATGAACAGGCCTGAGATGTAGATTTAAATACCTCCTGTGCTAAAGGTGTTTTGAGACTTAAGGCGTTCAGGGTAAAATAGTGGAGTTGGTGATCTAAACCAGTTTTTAATTGTGAGGTATAATTTACATACTATAAAATTCACCTTTTTAGAGTTGACATTTTGGTAATTTTAGTTCATTCACAATGTTGCACAACCACAGCCACTACTTTTTTTTTTTTTTTTTTTGAGATGGAATCTCTCTGTGTCACCCAGACTGGAGTGTAGTCGCGTGATCTCAGCTCACTACAACCTCCACCTCCCGGGTTCAAGCAATTCTCCTGCCTCAGCCTCTGAGTAGCTGGGACTACAGGCGCGTGCCACCACGCCTCGCTAATTTTTGTATTTTTAGTAAAGACGGGGATTCACCATGTTGGCCAGGCTGGTCTCTAACCCATGACCCCATGATCCACCCAGTTCAGCCTCCCAAAGTGCAGGGATTATAGGTGTGAGCCACTGCGCCCAGCCCACAGCCACTATTTAATTGCAGAACATCTTTATCACCCTGTCAATGAAACCTCGTACCCATTTAGCAGTCACTCCTCATCCCGCCCCCTCCCCAGACACACCAGACCCTGGTGAGTCACTAATCTACTTTCTGTTTCTATGGATTTGCCTACTCTAGACAATTCATATAAATGAAATTATACAATATGTGGTCTTTTGTGTAGCATAACGTTTTCAGGGTCCATCCATGTTGTGGCGTGTATCTGTACTTCATTCCTTTTCATGGCTGAATCATGTTTCATTGTACGGATGTACCACATTTTGTTTTTCTACTCGTCAGTTGATGGACATTTTGGTTATCTTCACTTCCTGGCTATTATAAATAATGCTGCTAGGAACATTTATATACAAGTCCCTTTGTGAATCTATGTTTCAATTTATTGGGTGTATACCCGGAAGTAGACTTGCTGGCAACTCTATGTTTAACTTTTTGAGGAACTGCCAAACTGTTTTTTATAGCTGCTGCACCATTTTGCATCCTCAACAGGAGTGTATGAGGGTTCTGGTTTCTCCACAGGTTCACAAAGATTTCTTGGTGTTTGGGGATTGTCCTTTATTTAATAGTCATGCTAGTGAGTATGTAGTGCTATCTCATTGTAGTCTGATTTGCCTTTCTTGAATTGCTAATGATGTCAACCTTTTTTTCATGTGCATTATAGAGAAATGTATATTCAAGTCCTTTGCCCATTTTTAAATTGTGTTGTCTTTTTATTGTTCAGTTGTAAGAGTTCTTTACGTATTCTGAATACTAGACCCTTATCAGATATCTGATTGCAAATATTTCCTCCCATTTGGTGGATTGATTTTCAACTTTCTTGGTTGTGTCTTCTGATGCACAAGACTTTTTCATTGTGATGAAATGCAACTTATCTGTTTTTCCTTGGTTGCTGTGCTTTAAGCATCATATCTTAACCAAGGTCACAAAGATTTATATCTATGTTTTCTACAAAGAGTTTTTTACATGTTACACCTATATTTCTTCTAAGAGTTTTTTAACTTTTCAAATTCCCTTTTAAAAGAGTGCAATTAAAAATTTTTTAAGTTGGCTCCAAGTGGCAATATCTAAAACTTGGATTTGACATTGAAATGCACCGGCAGAAATTCCCATAGCTAAACATATACATGTAGTAAGAAATTCTGCTGTACTGGTAGCTGTGAACTGGGCTCCTGAGGGACAATGGGAGCTAAGCCATCATCCCTGCCTTGAAGAAACCCACAGTATTATGAGAAAGAGTACTTCTGAACAAATACAGTATAAAGGTAATAAATACTTTATCTTCTTTTAACCTGACCATCTGTTAAGATAGATATTAAGGATAAGGACATAGCCTTAGATATGAAGTCATTTCTCCAAAGTCACACAGCCTGATGGAGTTTGAATCAAGATCTGCTTGTATGGCTGATGATATCATTATCACTGCTCTTTGTCTCCTCTGCATCACCCTGATTCAAGGTACCATCATCTTTTTCTAAGACCCTCGTGCTAGCCTCTTAGCTTTTTTCTGCTCTTGGCCACTGAAATCCATTTTCCTCTCATTAGCCGGAGTGATCATCCCAAAACATGCATCAGTTCACCCTTCTCCCTCTTCAAAACTCTCCCATGACTTCCCATCAGAACTAGAATAAAACCCAACTCTTATCACGGCTTATGAGCCCCTATATGACCTGCTTTCTGGCTACTCCTCTGACTCCAGCCTAGACCACTCACTTCTGTGCTCTCTGGCAATCCAGGTCTCAATGCAAGCAGCCCCTCCTCAGAGAGGCTGTCTCTGAACACAGTGGAAGGCAGCTCTTTCCTCCTCCTGATTCTCCCTCATGTCGTTCCAACATCTGTTCCACAGCATTTGCCACTGTCTTGAATAAGTTGTAAATGTATTTACTGGCTTTTTGTCCATCTTCTCCTACTGAATTATAAACTCTTTAAGAGAAAGGACTTTGTTTCTGTCATCCACTGCTAACCCATCCATTCCTAGCTGGAACTGTCTGACACATAATAGGTGATTAATAGATATTTCTTGAATTACTTAATACTAATGTACACGGTGCTTAGGAGAGGGGAAAAACTTTCTGGTGGGGCAAAGAAGGAGAAAAGGAGTAAAAGGGAGGATATGAGACTTTGAGAGTATTTATAGAGAAGACAATTCAAGCATTTGGAATGGAAGCATCAAGCTCTGAGAGCCCTGTGAAGAGAAGTGAGATGAAAACATTGCAGAAGGAAGGAGCAGCACATGTGATGTCATAGGGTTGTGCAACGCTAGCACAATCTTAATACAATTTTACATATTTTTGTCCTCCATAGTTTGAATGTACTTTGGTGTATTTCATTTTATCATTCTATTTTGCATCATCTTCATTTCTATTTTGCAGATGAGAAAATTAGGCCTCCAAGCCCTTTGTATATACATTTACAGAAAGCAGCCAATACAAATTTTATGGTTGGCTCTTTGTGAGAAAAAAGTTTTGGCCACACACGTGGCTCACACCTGTAATCCCAACACTTTAGAAGGCAGAGGCAGGATTGCTTGAAGCCAGGAGTTCGAGACCACCCTAGGCAACATAGTGAGACCCTATATCTACAAAAAAATGTAAAATAAATTTAAAAATTAGCTGGGCATGATGATACAGTCCCAGCCACTTGGGAGGCTGAGGTAGGAGAATCACTTGAGTCCAGGAGTTTGAGGCTGCAGTGAGCTATGATGTGTCACTGCAGTCCAGCCTGAGCAACAAAATGTTTTCACAAAATAAATGATTACTAAAAAGAAAATAACGTTTACTGTTCCAGTTGGAGAAACACTACCTGCTGAAACAAATAAACTCCAAAAGTTCAGGTTCTTCACGCAATGCAGGTTTATTTCCCATTCACATGTTGGCCAAGATGAGCATTCCTGGTGCCGTTCCTGTATGCAGTGATGCAAGAACTCAGCCTTATGCCACCTCTGGATCTGCCACACCCTGGGGCCTTGTCACTATAAATCCAGCCAAAGAAAGGGGCAAATGTGTAAATAACGAACAACATCTTAAAATCTTTGACTAGAAGGAACCACATATCGTATCCACTCACCTGTCATTACTGCGAAATAGTCACTAGTACACCCCACAGAATTGTGAGAAATTAATGGAAAGAATTGGCGAAACAATAGCAGAGGGCTAGGTCAGGAATTAGTTATCCTTCCACTGATTCTTCATCTTTGGCTTCCTTAAGCTTGTGACATCTTCTAAATCCATAAGATATTTTAAGAAAATAAATCTCTGCCTCTAAAACTTTAATGAAAATCTCCCTTGGCCTTAATTTTTTTTTTTTCAAAACTCATTTTTCTTCCTTTGCCATATCTCCAGATATTTTCCTGAGGAAATAAAGTTTCCCACATGTCACAGTCATCCACCACTCCTTCACTGGTACTTTGCCAAAGTTCTCTCTTTTAAATACATTTTAGACAGAAACAAGTTTTTCCCAGAAGCCCACATTCTGCCCTCAAGATACACAGGTGCAAACCTATTTGATATCAGGGGAAGGTACAGACTTCAGAGCACAAATAATTAAATCTTTGGTGCTTCTATAAAAATTTTATTATGTTTTAAGAAGCAACCAAAAGCTAAAGCCATATTTGACTAAAGAAAAAGTTATTTAATCTATTAATAATTATTTTTTTTTTGAGAGAGAGAGAGAGAGTTTTACTCTGTCGCCCAGGCTCGAGTACAGTGGTGCAATCTTGGCTCACCGCAACCTCTGCCTCCCAGGCTCAGGTGATTCTCCTGCCTCAGCCTCCTGAGTAGCTGGGATTACAGAGGCCCACTACAACACTAACTAATTTTTGTATTTTTAGTAGAGACGGGGTTTCACCATATTGGCCAGGCTGATCTTGAACTCCTGACCTCAAGTGATCCACTAGCCTCGGCCTTCCAAAGTGCTGGGATTACAGGCATGAGCCACCACACCTGGCCAACGTATTACATTTTTAAATAGTTAGCCAATTAATAGTGAAGTTCTTAATATTACTCATGAGAAATAACAATTGCTGTTGGTAATAATCACAGATAACATTTACGTACAACTTATGTGCCAGACACTGTTCTAAGTACCTTATATGTATCGAATAGTTCAATTCTCACAACAATGATGTGGCGTAATTACTGTTTTTATCTCCTTTTTCCAGATGAGGAAGCCATGATACAAAAAGTCCAACTGATTGCCCAAGTCAGGTGGCTAAGAAGTGGTGGGGCCAGGGATCCACCAGTCTGTGGATGGTCTTAACATCTGTGGGACTTGTATTTTGAAAAGACTCTACAACTATTAGATATGAAAGAAAGTCATTAAGATTGCTGCATCTAAGTTTTCTTTATTTCAAATCACACAGAGCCTGTGATACAGCTGAAACTTGCAACCTGTATCTCCCATTGCTCTTTGCATGGTCTGCTGTGGGATTCCCACATAGCATGAGCATTCAAGGTGCAGAAGCTGCCACCCAGCACAGGTAGCGAAATGTTTACAGTGCCTGAATTTCTTTATTGACCTAGAGAAACTTAATTTGGATATTGATTCTGTTTCTTTTCTTTCCTTAATTCAAGATTGTTTGCATTATCTCTTTGTCAAGGTAAATTTTAGAGACACTAGAGTGATACCTACTCAACATTAAATATTAGTCTTTTCAGTTAAAAAAAAAATCGAATGGTCTCTGTTTCTCCATAGAGTTGCCTATAGCTGTCTTCCTTTTCTCTCTTTCACCATCTTCACTGCGAGGGTGGGTAGAGGAAATAAAGCATAAAGATATTTATTACATAATCACCTGTAATCAACACCTTAAAAAAGAGGATTTATCATCTTCTCAAAAAAAAAAAAAAGTGCTTTCTCATGTATTCCCCATTACAGTGGGTGGTCACATCATCTACAGGAGCTAATGCAAACCAGAAATCTGGTAGTTACCATAGATCCTTTCTTGCCTTCTGTATCCAATTAATCACCAACCTCTGTTGATTTTTTTCTCACACAAAGATCTCTCTATCTTCATATCCTTCTTGATCCTCACCCTCTTTAAATATCCTTCAGTCTACAGTAGAAATGATCTTTCTCAAACGGTGTTAAGTCTCTACTTAAAATAATGAGAACACATGGACACAGGGAGGGGAGCACTACACACTGGGGTCAGTTGGGGGGAAATAGGGGAGGGAGGGTGGGGGGTGGGAAGCTGGGGAGAGATAGCAAGGGGAGAAATGCCAGATGTAGGTGATGGGGAGGAAGGCAGCAAATCACACTGCCACGTGTGTTCCTTTGCAACAATTTTGCATGTTCTTCACATGTACCCCAAAATGTAAAATGCAATAAAATAAATAAATGGGGAAAAAAAAAAAAAAAAAAATAAATAATTAATTAAACCTTCAAAAAAATAATAATAATAATTTAATGATCTTTATTACCTTCAGGATAAAATTCAAGTTCCTTATCATGGCATTCAAGGCTCTTGTGTTCTGGCCCAGTCCCTTGACCAGTCTAATTTCCTAACACTTCTCCTAAGTCTCATCACTGTCCAAGCACATCAAATTTCTTAAAATATATCATAAAACTTATTCTTCTTTCCCTAGCTGACTTGCACATCTTTCATTACTTGGTCCACCTGCTCTGAGAACCTCTTCCTACTCCTACCTTCCTGCTACATCCTTACCCAGGCATCCCTTCTCCACAATCTGGTGGCTTCTCCTCTGAGTTCCATGAGAGTGCTATGCATATTTCCATCACAGTACTTATTAGAAGGTATTTAGTTGTCGACTTACTTGTCTTCTTTCCAGTGAGGCTGGACACTATTGAGGGTGTTTACACACTATATGTGTGTAAATATTTGTCATTCTGACACTATTGAGGGTGTTTACACACTATGTGTGTGTAAACTATTTGTCATTCTGTAGACTGACTGATAAATAATATAGAAACAGAAAAACATGGAAAAATGGATAATTTTCATTAAGAAAGAGCTCATTGAATTGGAGACATAAATATTTAGAGAACTTAGAATCAAAGCCTGTAAACTGTCAACAGCATGATTAATGCTAAATTATCCTAAATCAATTATAAGATAATTGATTTCCATAGAGTTAAAATGTTCTGTCTCAGAATAGTGATAGGAGAGGCATAACATAAAGACAGCTCTTCACTTTGAAAGTTATCTTGCCTCTTGTTCACAAAAGCTGATATGATTTACCCTCCAACTCTGCTGGAGTTTTATTCTCACTAAGCCCTCATAATTCAATGGGCTTAAATCCTTAACACTTTAAATGAAGCAATAGATAAACCAGGACTGATAAAGGAGCTAAGAATCCTGTTCTTAAGAAACTAACTGTAATCCCAGCAGTTTGGGAGGCCGAGGCAGGTGGATCACGAGGTCAAGAGATCGAGACCATCCTGGTCAACACGGTGAAACCCCGTCTCTACTAAAAATACAAAAAATTAGCTGGGCATGGTGGCGCATGCCTGTAATCCCAACTACTCAGAAGGCTGAGGCAGGAGAATTGCCTGAACCCAGGAGGCGGAGGTTTCGGTGAGCAGAGATTGTACCATTGCACTCCAGCCTGGGTAACAAGAGCGAAACTCCGTCCCAAAAAAAAAAAAAAGAAACTTTAAGATCATCAACATGACCTTTAGAGAGGTTCTAATAAACTATAATAATAGCCAGCAATTGTAATAATAACAATCATCATTAATAATCAAATACTCTATACTTATGCCTTTCATCCATGGATCTGAAAGCTCTTTTTACAAATATCAATTATGACTGACATTCTTGTAAGCTGAATATTCACAAGTATCCAGAAAATGAAGCAGTTTTAAGACAGGATGGCACAAAAGGGATGAGTTGCATGCTCTAGCTCTCCCACCCAATTCCAGCTGCAAACTCTGCTATCCATTAGGTTGAATGGCCTGACTGCCAGGAGACTATAAACAGATATAGACAATGGTAGTTTGTTAGTTCTATGGAATTCAGAAATGGTATTAGATGTGATTGCTAAAGAAATCCTGATTGTGAGAGCTCCCCATAAACATTTAGAGTCCTGTCAAAGAAATGAAACTGTCTTTACTGGCCCAAATTCAACCTATAGATACTCATAACTTTCAATGTGCTAAAAATTTGGCACAGAAAAATAATTTTTGGTTTTGGTTTAACTTGTAGGAAAACTTAGATTGGATATTTTTTGTTAGTTTGCATTTGAAACGAATGGGCATACTATTATATTTAAAATGAAGTTTTGGGAATCTTTAATGGAGAGTTTCCTGTGTTTCATCAAAAGCTTATCCTAAATGGATCAGTTAGGGACTGCTAGGGAAAGAGCAAGGAGGTGCCTGGGTGATCAGCTTTTATGATGCTGCCCCCAAATCTAAAACACAAAACAAAACAAAACCCAAGAAAATCAAAACAAAGTAAAAATGGAAGAGGAAGGGAAGCAGTTGGTATAATGCAAGGGGAAAGTTTTAATTCATCCAATCAATCTTCTCTGAACATCTACCAAAAGCAAGGCATTCTGACATTTTTATTTGCAGGTATGTGGGCACAGAAGACTATAAAGGTGATCTCATTTCCTTTTACTAAGTGCATTGGTCTATATTAGTCAGGGTTCTCTAGAGGGACAGAACTAATAGGATAGATATATATAAAAGGGAGTTTTTATTAAGTAGTATTAACTAACACGATCACAAGGTCCCACAATAGGCCACCTACAAGCTGAGGATTGTCAAGGAAGCAAGTCTGAGTCCCAAAGCTGAAGAACTTGGAGTCCGATATTTGAAGGCAGGAAGCATCCAGCATGAGAGAAAGATGTAGGCTGAGAGGCTAGGTCAGTCTTGCCTTTATACATGTTTCTGCCTGCTTTGTATTCTGGTCATGCTGGCAGCTGATTAGATGGTACCCACTCAGATTAAGTGTGGGTCTGCCTTTTCCAACCTACTGGCTCAAATGAGAATCTCCTTTGGCAACACCCTCACAGACACACCCAGGACCAATACTTCAATCCAATCAAGTTGACACTCAGAATTAACCATCACGTGGTCTCCTTCCATTCTCATTATTTTTGGAAGGTATTTTTTTTGGTTTAAATCAGAGGTTTTGCTATAAAATAGTAATGCATTAATCAGTTTTCTTAAGACTACCATTTTAAGGCTTTGTGTCAGTTTCTTCTAATGTAGAATATCAAGTGGATACGATACATCATTTGGACCTGCATGTACAGTAACGAATTTGGGGTATCATCAAGTTAATTGATAGAATTCATTTGACTTAGGTACTTAGGCTTTCACGAAACCTCTTCTTAAAACATTAATTCTGCTCAGAATAAACAGTACATTCACCTGCATCCGTTGTGTTGGCCCCTACCCCAATCCCTGTACATCTTGAAGCACTATTATCATGTTTGACTTCTTTAACTGGAAGGAGTATTTTTTAATAGTATATACAGGTATTTTACACATAATATTGCTTGGTACTTTCATAAAACAGAAGAGAAAACGGAGACTTGTGAATATTGAGTGATCTTATGCAAGATCAGAAGCTAGTTGACGGAGAATTTGAAATAGAAATCAGGCCTTTGGGTCATCTATTCTCTGTTCTTTCTGCCCAACTGAATGAAAA